GGAGTATTTTTAGCCCTTCTTGTTGGGACGAGGGTTTCTAAAATGAGCCTGGTTTATTTCTTTGATTATGCTATTGTTACTGCATCTACAGTTACTGGGTGGTGCGTCATTGCCTCCATATTTCTCAGTTCCGTTGCTGGGTAAGATTTAAGATTGTGCCAATTTTGTTCTTTTGTGATGTATTTTAATTAAAGATTAATAAATTTGGTGAGTCTGTCGACATTTAATGTGGTTATTTAAGTGTTCTTGAAATAGTGATTAAAAGGTTCATTGTATGTTTATGAATTTCAAATTTATTTTTTATTTATATTTGCGTTGTTAATTATTTGTGGCGTGAAGACTGTTTCGTGAAATTTCTAAAAACTGGATACTTGAGTTACTTTAGTAATTCTGCTCAGTGTATTATTTGTTAATCTGGTTTAAATTTGAAAGATATGATTGTCAATGAGATTTTTCTTGCTGATTTTATTTTCATTTTTCCGAAAAGGAAAGATGATGAATTCTTATGTTCTTATGAAAGTTCGTGGTCACAAATTATAAACAATAGCCTGACCTGGTGGGATAATAGCTATGAATAACTTAATTTATATGCTGCTAGAACAAATATTTAATGGCAAATAACACATATTGATAAGATATATTGTGAAAGAATGTCTCAGAATCTTAGTTTCTGTTTCCTTTCTTTTTTCCTTTATTATAGTTTTTTATGCAGTAACGAATATTGAGGTTAGTAGTGTTGAACTTGAAGGAAGGAATAAGGAATATGAATGAAGATAGTAACACTAAGGGTGTGTTAGAGCCACATTATTTTGGAAGAATGTATTTTGGAATAGTAGATTGATGGAGAATGTGTGGTTGAAAAACAAGGAAAAGTTATTGATGTGGTGGAAAATATTATTTTATTGAAAAATGTGTGGTTGAAAATGAGTAGAAGAATGATAATGAAAATTTTAATGTGGGTCAAACATGGGGCTAAGTGGACTGAGGTAGCTAACTGCATTAGGCCCTAGTAAATGAGGAACTAAGAGAGTTTTAAGGTAGAAGGCCACCTAATAAGGAAACATGTTGGTACAGGTACAGCAAGAAAGTTTAGTTGACATCTGTGATGCGCTGGTGCATGTGTTCTTTTCATAAATATATTTTTCAAATTTTTTAACACAACTGATACGTGTCTGACATGCCACATGGCGTGTCGTTTTTTTATTATAGAAATTTCTAACATGCCAGGAACTCATCCCCAAGGCATTAGAGACACGAGAATTTCTATTTTGTCAATTTTGGGTTGTAAAATCAGTTTAGATTGTAATTATTAAGATATTTGTGTGAAAAGGCAAAAATAATGAAAGATAAGTATGAACTTCAAGTCGAATTTGTTTTATGTATACTATATGGGGTTTTTGAGTACATGGATATTTTATTTCTTTTGTACTAACAGAAGTTACAACGAAATGATGAATAGTCTCTAAACTAAGTTTAAAAGATATTTATTACAATCATGCTATGAAATTGTGGCCTGTGGAAATGGGTGATTGAAAAATGATTAAGGTATACATTAAAGTACCATAGAAATGATTTGATTTATCAGGACATCTACCAAAGACTAAATCGTTAGAACAAGAAGACAGAAAACTTCTTATTTTTTGTTGGGGCCGATATCAAACACTTGAATGCTAGTATTGATTTCAAATATCATGGTTGTTAAGTTGTCCTTAATTTTAGATAAGTATGCTTATTGTTCAGTCCATATGAAAATTAAGGATCAATCTATGCTTTCATAATGAAGCTTGCTAGGAAAATTCTCGGTTAGAATAAGCTTTTTACTTAAAGCTGTTCAGAATTTGTAAATAGAAAATCTCTGGTACTTGGAGAAAAAGAACCCCACCTCCACCCAATCCAGAAATAAATAAATAAATAAATAGAAAACTAGAAATAAATAAATAAATAGAAAACTAATACCGAGTACAGAGGAAAGGGGGATGTGTAACTTTATAGTATGGTTATATTTTCCTGAATGTGATTGTTTTAACATAGAACCTTAAAAATGTTATGAATATGCAATTTGCACATGCTGAATTTCCACCCAATGAATGTCGATAGTCATAAATGTAAATAAGCTTGGACTTGGTATAACTTCTTAAATGATATGTCTATCCTTATCTTCATTTAAATATTGTAACAGGGCTGTTTATTTAGTCTATTTGATTGAAAGGGCGAAGAAGTGCCTAGATTTCTCAGCGACCGTTTATATCATCCACCTTTTCATTTGTATCATATACGGAGATTGGCCTTCATCGACAACGTGGTGGGTCGTGAACATTACTGCCTTTGCAGTGATGGCATTGTTAGGTGAATATTTGTGCATGAGACGGGAATTGCGTGAAATTCCTATTTCAAGATACCGTTCAAGTAAGATCATTTTTGTTTTAATCGATTACTTCCAGAAATCATTAATTTTTTTTGTCTTTCGTTTCTTTATATTCTATTTAGTCAAAACATCATCCCTCTTTTTAAAAAGTTTATGTTTTTCTTCTTCTCGGACATTCTTGACTTTTTTTCCTTGTCTGTTGCTCATCTATTTTGCCGTGTATCACTTTGCTAATTATTTAATTTGCAGTTTATTTTCCCAATAATTAATTGACACACTATTTTTCCCAATAGTGTCATTAATTTCTATGGTCCTAAAAGTATACAAGAACAATACCAATGGTCAAATACACAACATATTTTAACAATTTTAAAGTGCACAGGAATAAGATGTTTTATGGTATCGGGATTGTTTGTGTTTTTGGTTCATTAGATTAAGATCCAAATCTGCATTTTTAACAGCTATGGAAAAGTGTTTGATGTACTGCCCAGCCCAATTTTAGTGAAAATTATTTGAAATGACACATGTACTAGATATTACTTTTAATTGATGGTTGCAATCAATGTTATAAAAATCGGACTAGACCAACCAGTTCTACTAGAACCTGTCCGAAATGCGGTTGATTCAATGTTAAAAACAAAATTGAGAACCTTTGAAAAGAGTCAGAACTGGCTGGTTCACTTGGTTTCAACCGTTCATTTTTTAAAAAGAAGAAAAAATATTTTTCATTTATTTATTTAAAATTTTCAACGGCCACATTGACCCTGGACCCTTTAACTTTTCAGGGCTAATGCTTGGGCTGGTTTCTAAAACACTAGTAGCAATATGCATTCCAGTTTTATGCCATCACTCCGGAATAGCTGTAACTTCATATCTATAAGATTCAAAAGATTTAATTTTTGGTTGTGCTCTGTAGTTCATCATACGTGCTCAATTCTTCACTTGCCTGAAGGCTTCCAATGATTTTGAGATGGTTGCTCCAAAGACTTTGACACGCAATTCATTCTTAGTGAATAATTCTTCGCTTTTTTGAAGGCATTCATTGATTTTGAGGATTCCTAGAGTTCGTTAGGGTTGACTAACTTCACCTTGCCCAAAAAAAAAAGGGGAAATTTAAGATGGCAACTGAATAGGAATTTCTAGACCACAATTAATGGGCAACAGGTCGAGGACACAAATATGCAATGTTCCAAATATATCAGCATGATTATCTGAGTATATCTTTTAAATCCATGCAGGTATTTGACCAGTGTGGAACTTGCGAGTTAACATTGAATGAAGCTCGTAAGATACTGATTCGGTCTTCTTTTCGAAACTCATCTTGGAACCCATTTAAGAGACTTATATTCCATGCTGGAATGTGTTACAGGTGAAAGTTTTTGAAATATGGACAGGAACACCAACCAATTTAAGAAATGAATTTACCTCCATACAGTCGAGGGAAGTAATGAAAATGTTGAATGATGTAAAATGGCTTTATGCCTATGTTATTTGCTAGCATCTTTTATCAGTATTTTCAATGTCTTGTTTGGGTGAACAGCTTGGAATGTCAATATGGACAATATGATGTTTTAAGGAAGTTCATATCTATATTTTTTTGTAGTGTCATGTCCTATCTTACTGTGTACTAAGCATGCACTTCGATTATGTTTATAACCCTTTGACTCTCTTCTTTTGCTTTTCTAGCTCCAATTAATGAGTCATCTTGTTAGACAGAGCTATAAAATGTTGATGGTCACCTTGTCATTGTCTAAAATTCTACCTCATCACCTCTTATAAGGCAATTTCAATATCATGCCTGAATGGTTATTTTGACGACAAAAATCTTCTTGTAGACCTTTATAAAATAATTGAAAACTTATATTTGAGATGCTCTTTACTTTAACGAGTCAACAATTAAAATTGTGTTTTAAAAGACTTTTTAAATTAACATTGTAATTTAGAAAAGTTTGACTCTTCGAATTTGGAGAGCAAAATTCACTTTTTATAGTTAAATGCATTCAAAGTATTTCAATTCAATAGAGAAATAATATAATAATTTGGAGAGTAAGTAGTGAAAATAAAAGATAGAAAAAATAATAAATATTATTTTTGAGAGTAGTGAATTTAAATGTTATATACAAATAGTTTGTTGGAATGTTTAAAATTTATTTATTCTATAAATTTATAGATGTTCTTTAAATTGGAGAAGTCTCTGTGAGATACTCTTATAGTTGTTAATTTGTTTTTAGAACTTTTATGTTATATTTTTTAATTAATTACTAAGATCTTATGATATTCCATCTTATTCAACGATTCAATATGTAAAATTTCTCAATCGATCTGATCCAAATTTACAATTTTGACAACTTTGCTTATGAGTAAATTTACTTTTAAGTTAGCCGAATGTGATGGTAAAAAGGAACTATTTGTCTTCCAAAAAGAGCTTAGCATATAACTTATACATAATACTAATGTTTCAACTTTTACAAAATCTCTCATTCCGACCTATACTGAAATGCTATGACAGGATCTTAGCCATCCCTGTTTCTAACTAAGCGATGATGGTGACATATCGGGTAGAGACGGACTTAATTGAAAACTAAGTTAAAGTTTCGTTCATCACAACTTGCACTTAAAGTTTCGTGTTAACGACTTAGGTGTGAGCTTTCCATGAAGAGGATATGTCGGCGACGGCTTCTCCAACAGTTAGATATAGCCCTTCCAATCCAAAGGACTCCAAGATATTTGATTGATGCAGCTTTTCCATTACACTTTCAACGGGATTTACCAACACAAGCTACATGAAAATGGTGCTCGAGTTACTCAAATGACGCCAAAATTTACATGGAAATTTCGTCGAATAATGGAAACGCGGTTTTCTGATGGCTTACCTTAAGTGATTGTTTCTCCAATATCTTTCTGAGTTCAGATATTGTGTCGATACCGCTTGTATCTATTGCTGTCACCGCTGATTAAGAAAGACGTAACGTTATCAGCCTATAGCCGAGGTTTGGATACTTGCAGGTGTAATGTAATATATACTATGTGTATTCTGTAACTGAGGACTCATGTTCTGTTACAAATTTTCTTGACTAACCTGTCATATCCAAAATGACACATTTCATATTACTGTCCTTATTGGTTTCTATCCACTGTTCCTCCTCTCTAATCCATCTTAATATCCTGTTAAAAAAGGATTATTCACTTCATTAGACCTCTGGATTAAGCAAATGCTCAGGAGCGCAAACAAAAATCAGTTCTTGCTAACCTTTCTTGTAGGTATGTGGAATTTGCAAAATAGATAGGAGATTCTATAGCCAGTATGAAAAATGAGGGGACCCGAACAGCTTCTTTGTATCTGCGAAGGTTCTGATATATTTGAGTTCCAGGAAGGTTGCCCAGAACAACTGTATTTGGCCTTGTAACATGCAAGAGAACCTTGAAAACCGAAACTCCAACCTGTACAAGAGTTACTTTTAAAATAAGTAACATTTTTTACACTTAAAAGTAAGAAAAAGGAAATTTATCTGTGCACGTTCTTAACCAAAGGTACATAAAAGTACTTATTTAAAGCTTAGACAAACATGCACTATTTGGTATGCTGAATTGGACAACATTGAACAGGAAAACGCATTCAACTTTGCAAGGAGACAGGAAGTAAGGCTTACTGCTATAGCAAGACCAAGAGGCACTGAGATGAAGAGAACACCAAGAAAGGAACTTATGCAAGCCATGAAATCGAGTTTGTCGACTTTCCAGAGTCGAATTGCAGCCTGATAGTCGATTAGGCCGATCACCGCAGAAATGATAATGGCTGCCAGTATGAGATTGGGAGTGTAATAGAACAGGGGCATGAGAAACAACAAAGTCACAAGCACGGTTGTCGCTAGTATTATGTTTGACACTACAGTTTGTGCTCCAGCGTTATAATTTACAGCCGATCGAGAAAATGATCCTGTAAAGATAAATAGAGCCAATATCAAAATGCCATTTATAGATGAAGGGCTCGGGAAGAGAAGGAAGTCAAAAATAAAAGAGAATTGTTACCTGTAGTCACATAACAAGAAGAACAAGAACCGGCCATATTCATCAGACCTATTGCCATCATTTCTTTGTTCCCATCTACTTGGTAGTTCTTCAAAGCCGCAAATGTTCTTCCCACTGCAATTCCTTCCTGCAGCACAAGTCGTAAATTGTTTGAAAGAAATGTAAGAATTGCACATAAGTTACTACATGTTAGACTGTGTAGAGCCTAACTATATAGTTTACGCTGAGATTTCATTAACAACTTACTGTGAGCGACAATATTCCGGTAACAATGCCAGTTTTGATTGCAAGACCGAGATAAGGGCCTTGCAAATATAGCATGTTCGACGATGGTGGATTCAGACCCTTAGGCAAGTGCCCAATCTGTAGAATTACGGATTACCAGTTATTTCAAGAATTAGTCTGTGCAAATATATCGAATAATCAATGAAGTACAACTCGACCAACAATACTAAGTCGATGAACATTTCTTACAGTTTTAATATCGTGAACTTTGGATTTAAGGAAGACGACTAGAATTGTTGACAAGATAACTGATGCTAATGGGGAAGCTGCTGAAATCCAAAATAATTTCGGTCTTCTCATGCTCTGCAGTCATTATGAAAATTTTAATAGTCATTGATCTATACGAACGATTAGAATATTTCTAGAGATGAAGAACACGTACGATTTGCCTTGTTGTCAATAAGAAGATCAGAAAACAAACTCCCATAACAATGGTTTGCCAAGACCACTGCACAACATGTAAATCAATGATCAGTGTTTGATAAACATGTTTGTCTATGCTTAAAATTTACTTTTAAGAACGTTTTCTAAGACTCTCGGAGAGAATCTACCTCGTTTCTTTGTTGGAAAACTGAGGACAACACGGGAACAAGTTGCATCTTGCTCGTAAAATGTACTATCCCGAGTAGCCCTTTCAGTTGTTGCAATGAAACAATGACTGCTGCACCAGCCATGAAGCCTAGTAGTGTTGCCTTTGACAGAAAATCAATAACAAATCCTAACCTGGAAATCACATAATTCTGGTCAACAACGAATCGAACAAAGACACGAATACTTTTATTCTAAATATTATGTTGTTTTTATCGAATTTTATACAAGAATCCTTCTGTTCAATTATTTGCATTAATTATCAAAAAAAGAAATTCATAAGTCATCACTGATATTATTCTGTCTAATATTTTGTTTAGGTGTGTACAGCATAACAATCTTTATTATGGCAAGCTTTTGTTAGTGCACTGTTAATGATTCTTGGAGAATACTTTTCCAAAAGATGTTTCCATTTTGTAAAGTTGTGAGAAATATTGTTATAAGTAATTCTTCTATAAAACATTTTGGTGGAAAGCATAGTTGAATTTAAATCTTTTTTTAAATTTTTTCTCAACCTTTAAGTCCTCACGTGGCCCTCACATGTCTAATTTATGAAATGGGACATATTTTCAAGAGACGAAGATTGACCACTTCCTCGTTGGAAATTGATTATGCAACTATAATGGAAGTTTNGATTATGCAAGTATAATGGAAGTTTGAAAAAGAATTTATTTGTTCGTGAATTGGATTATGAATTGTTCTTAATTGAGTACCTTAAGAAACCTAGTGAAGCTTGGAATAATCCAGCAAAAAGAGTAGCAGTGAAAGCCAGCTGAAGATAAAGAATTGGTTCTTCAGTAGAAGAAACTGTCTCACTCAGCATTGTGCCCATAACAAGAGAAGCTATGGAGACCGGACCAACAGCTAGATGTCTTGAACTCCCAAGAACGGAGTATATCAAAGGCGGTACAAAACTGGAGTCTGCATTAGAACCAATTCTTTGTAAGATGACGAAATTTACGTTTACGTTTGGTACACAGTTTAGAACAAGAGAGTATATTGCACATGATTTGCTTGTTTGTCTTACTTAATATGCTCAACGAGACTATGTACAAGATTTTAGTTTCTCTTTCTTATTTAATACGATCTAGTACTATCGTATCTTTCCAACCAAGTATGTCATGAATGAATATATTTGTCCCATCTCTAATAGCTTTATAAGCTTTTACATTCTAAATTCAAGTTTCGTCATCACTCATTTATGAAAACCAGTAAAAAAGTTAATTGAATCCAGGGGCGGTTTTGGGTGGCCAGGCTAGGCTAGCCCCAGCCCAACTTCATTCTTCCT